ACTGAGTTCCAGACCAACCTGGTGCCCTATCCCCGCATCCACTTCCCTCTGGCCACATATGCCCCTGTCATCTCTGCTGAGAAAGCCTACCATGAACAGCTTTCTGTAGCAGAAATCACCAATGAGTGCTTTGAGCCAGGCAACTAGATGGTGAAATGTGACCCTTGCCATGGTAAATACATGGCTTGTTGTCTGTTGTACCATGGTGACGTGGTCCCCAAAGATGTCAATGCTGCCATTGCCACCATCAAGACCAGGTGTACTATCCAGTTTGTGGACTGGTGCCCCACTGGCTTCAAAGTTGGCATTAATTACCAGCCTCCCACTGTGGTACCTGGTGGAGACCTGACCAAAGTACAGCAATCTGTGTGCATGCTGAGCAACACCATAGCTATTGCTGAGGCCTGGGCTCACCTGGACCACAGGTTTGACTTGATGATTGCCAAGTGTGCCTTTGTCCACTGGTAAGTAGGTGAGGGCATGGAGGAAAGAGAGTTTTATGAGGCCAGTGAGGACATGGCTGCCCTTGAGAAGGATTATGAGGAAGTTGGTGTGGATTCTGTTGAAGGAGAGGGTGAAGAAGAAGGAGAGGAATACTGATTCCTTTCAGCCCTGCAACATGTCATACTCAGAACTTCCAGGTCCAACAGCTGACAGGCATTAAAGCTTTCTGGTTAGATTTTCTTCGCTTTTACTTGTGATCATATCTGCCTTTTTTTCATGTATACCTGTATGATTTTCCCTTCATAAAAAAAAAATTCAAAATAGTATTATTTTACTTACTAGAGGCCCGGTGCATGAATTCGTGCACGGGTGGGGCCCAGCAGGCCCGCCCCAAAGGGGGCCCATTGGGCCAGGCCAGAGGAGGGTAGGGGCTGTGGGTGGTTGGCCAGCGGCCCCACCCCTAATCGGAGCTTTGGGGGCCAATTGAGGGGAGGCGATTGGGGCCCGGATCAGGCTGGTTGGCTGCCGCAGCGTGCATGATAGCCATCATCGTTCCAGTTGTTCTGCCTTTCCGGTCACTGGGCTTTTATATAGAGAGATATTTCTCTTGTTAATTGCATTTATTCAGTTTTGAAACATGAGTACAGAAAGGTGCTTTACCCCATATTGATTTCCAACTGCAGGTTATTATGTGTGATAACTAACTCCCTCACTAAGTATGGTCCTCCACCACAGTGCTGATAAACTATAAATGCCTCCATGGACCTGTATTAGTTTTGATTTCACATGAACCATGTCTTCCTTAGCTAGTGTAGAAAAGTATTTAATAAGCAAATGGTGAAGAGCAATGAGGATTATCTGTTTCAACTATTGATTACATCTTTGACTGTATCATTCATTGCTTCTGTCAGTTGTCCCTTTGCATTCTACAAGTAGACTATCTAGGAAATATTTTGCAATGATTATTTCAGATACATATGTGAGTAGTTACTTCTTTAGAAGCTTCCAAATTTAAATAAAAATTTTTCCAAATTTCCTGTGTAATTACACTTATTTTCTGCAACATAGGAAACAAATACGGGACAGCATGTCTCACTGATGTTTACATTCGGTGCCCCAAATTAGAACCAAGTCATTGTTCAGGCTTCTCTTCAATATGTTCCAGTTCTGTGAACTGAGGGAAACAATTCATAATGGTCATCAGTTCCCTCATTTGAACCCACAACCAAACCAACCCACCTGGCAGGCTTTGGAAAGCCTTAAATAACACATGCAAAACATCAACATACTGTGGGTATTCAATAAACGGTAGCTATTCACAAGTGAGTTCTTGAAGTGCTGATAGTTCTATTTTGACCTATGTAAATGTTATATGGACATTTAATTAATAATTATTGGACTATATATATAAATGGACCTCATGGACTCCTATATTTCATAATTAAAAATGAATGGTAGCTTTTAGTGTTATTTAATGTTAATTTATGTAATGGTCCCTTAAACCTGATCTGAGTCCCTACTAATTACAAATTCTAATAGGGCTTATTACTTAAAAATACATTAGTTTCGCCCTGACTGGTTTGGCTCAGTGGATAGAGCGTCAGCCTGCGGACTGAAGGGTCCCAGGTTTGATTCCGGTCAAGGGCATGTACCTTGGTTGCGGGCACATCCCTAGTGGAGTGTGTGCAATAGGCAGCTGATTAATGTTTCTCTCATCGATGTTTCTAACTCTCTATCCCTCTCCCTTCCTCTCTGTAAAAACTCAATTATTTTTTAAAAAGTAAAAAAATAAAAAAAAGATTAATTTCATTTTGTAGTAAACAGATGGCTTTCTTCCTGCATCCACTCTAATATCTGTTGCAGAAGGAAGCTGGCTATTTACGCTGGACCTCCTAGTTGCTAACCCCACTCCTACTCATGGTCCAAAGAGGTGCTGCAGGAATTGAGAATGGGAAGTAGGAAAGATACAGCCTTAGGACAGTTATCCCAGTCAATGGCAGCACCAACAGCCCCCAAGAATTTGGGTTAAAAATTCACGACACGACCATTCTTCAAAGTCAACTTTCTAACTTTTTAAAAAATATATTTTTATTGACTTCAGAGAGGAAGGGATAGAAACATAAATGAGAGAACCATTGATCAGCTGCCTCCTGCACACCCGCTACTGAGGATCAAGGCCGAACCCCAGCAAGTGCCCTTAACCAGAATTGAACCTGGGACCCTTCAGTCTGCAGGCTGATGCTCTCTCCACTGAGCCAAACCAGCCAGGGCCCAACTTTCTAACTTTACCATTAAAAAAAAAAAATCCTTAACAATGTTAAGAAAAATCAATCTCAGGACACTGTCTTGTTTTTAATTTAGTTTCCTATCTTAATAACCTATTTTACTCAGTAAACCTGATTGAAAGTTATTTTAGGATTTTTTAAAAACAAACTTCAACTGCACCCATAAGGGATAATCCCCTAGTTGAGAATATTCAAGACAGACAAGTACTAAGGAGCCTTAATAAACAGCTACTTGAATGATGTGACTCATTTCAAGGGACCGAAGATTTGAAGATGTGGTCACTAAGAATTAACTAGCGGAAAATCAGTCTGAGGGGGATTTTCAAAAACTTTACAATTTGGAGAAGGTAAGCAATACAACATAGTAAAAGTTTGGGCTCTGGAATCAGATAGGGGTTTGAAATTGATCTTTGACCAAATTATTTTTTTCAGTTTCTTCATCTGAAAAAGGACCAAATGAGCACAGCTACTCATAAGGCTGAGAGGAAATGAGAACATGTCTAAGCAGTTACTAAACTAAGGAATACTGCATCACAGTGGGCACTGTAGGTATATCATCTTGCTTAATCTTCAGTGCTCTCTCTGTGGCAGCTGTTAGTCCTACTTTACAGCAGAGGGAGCCTAGATTCTCAGTAACAGATTCCCAAGTTTGCTTTCTTCTGCACTATACTATCTTGAAGAATTATAAAGTATGCATTTTTCTTAAATCAGGAATTCTTTAAAAATTTCAAGGGATTGAAGCTTTTAATAAGTTTATAGCAAGTAACATTTAAAAATTCAACAGTATTTGTTTTTACACTAAACAGCTCCCTCCAAGTCTACCATATCAAAAGGTTACTAGATTTTAAAATATTTTCAATAACCTTTACGTTAACTTGAAACGAGCCAATTTAGGAACTTACCGAACTACCTAGGTACGTCATAGAAATTTATTCTTTGTAATATCTGGCTCATTTTTCTGACCATCATCATCCCCTAAAATACACATTCCAAGAATAAGGAAAGAGAGGTAATTAAAAGTGCTCCCACTCATTCCTGTTATTGCTTCTCACAACCCATTTATAGAATATGGAGATAACTTTAATATCAAGTTTAACATTCTCGAGTCATTCATTTTTAAAGGTTATCTGGTGAAATAAAAACTGATTATTTTAAGTACATAAAGTATCCTTATCTATTATTTAAATCGTGCTACTTGTGTTCTGTTTACCTATTCTACTGGTAATATTACTGGTGTGAGAAAGGTCGTATCTTGATTTTTCTCTTACATTATCACTGTTACTGCTCAATTTGCAGTATCTCAAAAGCCAGAAGAAAAGCCACAAAGATAACGAGACATCCTGGGCCAAAGTTTGAAGAAAAATGAAATGATCTACCACAATGGAATAATACAATTAGAATCACCCAAGACACAAAAACAGGATTCCATTTCATTACTAACGAAGGTATGTCAATTGAACAAGCTCATTCAAGAGCTGCGCATGGCTCTCCATTCTTCCCAGTATTAGGATTTGTAGACAGAAGACTATCCAGTTCTAGATTTGGTAACTGTACCTTCTCTATTCGTAAAGTTGTATATCAGCTATGAAAAACTAATTGGTTGTAATTTACAATGACTGGTAGCAGGAAGCTTATTTGCAGGAATTCTGACTTAAGGGGAAAAAAAACACAACTTCTTGAAAAGGTAAAATAGCTTAAAGCATTTAATATCTAAACAAATCAATTTGTTAATAGCAGTAGTCACAAAATATGTTTAATATAGAAACCCACATTTATGTCTTAAGAAAAAGTGTAAATTGTATTTTACCTCAAAACATAAATTATTAACCCACTTAAAGAATCTGCAGTGGTCAATAGCATGAATTTTAAACAATCTCAGAATAAAATAACCTTAAGTATTTTATATCTAAAAAAATGCTTACAACTCCTCATAAAAATAGTCTGAGGCAACTATTTTTCCTTTTATTATTTAACAGACACGTTCAACATTATGGGCAACATTCTTAAAACCTTAAGCTTCAGACTTCCAAATACTATGGTCCCCTTTTCTTGATGTGGGAGGTTTATTACACTAGGGAAAAAAAAGCATGGTAGACAATATATTCTCACCAAATCAAAAGCAGTACAAAAGTTTTAAGACTCTACAGAACTACACACCGTACCTAATGCATCATTAAAAATAGAAGACAGTATTTCCCTCAGCAAATAAAACAGCATACTGATATGCTGTTAATGCTTATCTTTTAATGTGTACTGTCATTCATAAGTTATTTACAACTTATACTGTGTGAAGAGAACTAGAATGTAAATTTTCTGCAAAACTGGAAAAAAGCAATACAAAATTTGTGAAAGCCTGTGTTTATATTATACAAAAGTCAGTTTTTCTCTTCCACTACCATTTA